TCGGAGTCTAAATTTCTCTAGCTAACCATTGAATGATTGGAAACCTGCAACCCAAATTCTTGCGAGAACCTTTAAGCAATTTCGTGAATTATTGACCCAGAAATTCGAACGTTAGCTGTCCTCCTTTGCTTGAACCAGCGCAGCGTAGTCTCACTGACTTCATCGTGTGAAGTTTTCCGCTTCTTCCGCTGTAGATCTCTTTAATTATGGTATCTCCAAGTTCTCCTGTCTACGGCTTTGGATGTTGCTAACTGTTATCTTGCTAACACCAAAATGCTTTGCCGTCTTACTTTGGCTACTGCTTTCCAGCAAATGTGGCAGACTAATCTTTTCCTTCAAAGACAACTTTCTGAGGTATTTTCGTTGAGCCATAATGCTGAATTACTCGTAATGACCGATCCTAAATTGTTCAAAGCACGGAGTGGATCTAAGGTCTTCAGTTCCATTTACTTAACATTAATTACATACCTTAACTAACCTCAATCGGTTTCAACCTCAGACCGACACCAAATAGAGCCGGATAAAGTTTCGACAATTAATATGGGCGTAAACGTCAATCTCACCACAATTCAAGTTGCTAATGCACCGGTGCTTAGACCTGCTGGTTAATCGTGGGTTTGACAATCACTCAAACACCTGATTGCTGCCTGTGCGACAAATAGACACATGTTCTTAGGGGTGGACGAAGGCTTGCCGGTGGACACGTGAGGGAGGTTGAACACACATTGTTGTAAGTCATTCCGTTGAAGCGGATTTGTGGCGACCTGTGTGCGCATAAACGCTGACGGCCGAGACAAACACGTACATACACATACACCCAGAGAGCATGCATCTACAAACATCAAGTTCACTGATTTGAGGGTCGGAACCTCACACATTGCAGTCCCGCTGCACACCGTATTATCGGAACAAAAGGGGGCATTGGAGAAGCATTGGATGGTAAGCCCTCAACTAGTCAACTTATAACTGCCCCGTGGTAAAATGTTCCCTGTAAATGCCGGCAGTATGGGCGCGTGGAGGCCACACAATGGGCTCAGGGTAAAGTGCACCTCAGTTTTCGATAAAGTGGAAAGTCATTTGAGACACTGAAGTAAATGTGGTGAAAGTGACCATAATGGGACAAGTGAGCGGATGGCTGGGAGGAGAAGGTTTGCACTGGTGTGACACGGTGCAAAAGTGTTGTTTGTCACACAGAGTAAAAATAAATTCTTCAGCCTTCAGCTTATCCGGATGTTTTGCCCTTTATACTTGTATCGAACAATGGACGGCACTAAAAATGTCGCCCTCTGTATAACGCCGCCCGGGGCGGACCGCTCCACTGCGTTCCTATGCTGCGCCTCTGCCAAGTGGTCAACATACAACTTACAGAGGTCTGGTTCCATAGAGTTTACATAGCGACTGTTCAAACTGTGAAAAACTTTTCAACATATCATAGGGCCCACATATAGTGGTGGTCAGCTTGCATAAGACTAGAAATCAACACAAGACTAGGCCAATGGGAAAATGATGAAAAATTCACTACAACCCCGTTTGTCCATGTATCGGGAAAGCTCTCATTCAATCCCCGATTTGATCAGTCTCACAGATTTTGCCAACTCATCCGACATTCTCCTGAAAATCAGGCTTAGTTGGTATTACTTCGAGTCCATCATCCAATAGTTGTCGCTGTTTGAAAACTGTCTGAATAATAACATTACAGTACACCTTGAATCAAGTCAAATGTGTGTAAATTTTGAGTCTTATGTAGGAGAGCATTAAGTCTGGTGAATTGTAGCATGTGATGAAGGCTTTACCTGTGTTCTTAGGCCAGCCTTCAGTTCGAATGTAAAAGGCCAACATACCACAAAGTTGAAATACATGACTGATGAGTTGCGGAGTACTTCACAGCATCATAAACCAAGAACGCTTACTCAGGTGTCTGTTGATTCACTAACAGCCCAAAGTCAGACTCATGGCTGGTTCGGTTTACATAATAACCATTGATCAACTGACATCCTAAACAACTTAACAGGAAACCACTGTACCCTTCGCAATCTACTGTATTAGTCGTGGTAACCAGCTTCACGTTGCAATCCTGCAATAAGTGTACTTGAGCCTTAGTAAAACCGTGCTATCCACCTGATAAGGCTGCCATTTAAAATAAAGTGCAGAGTATTGGCTTCGGAAACTTCATCTAGTTGGAATCATATAGTATTCAAGAAACACTTGGTTAGCACATCACGACTTTTCAGCTTCCATCTACTACTTTTACCCGGAGGCAAACTTATGTCGGCCACCCAGTCTACACTTATCCGTAAGTGAACTACAAAACGGGGGCGGATTCTATCACATGCGACATGAAAGTGTCCCCTACTTAAGGGGCTTTTCAGACAGCGAGGCGTAAGACGCAACAAGGTGCGAAGTGCCAAGCTGGTGGGTCGGAGTTCTGGCAAACGAAAGTTACTGATTAACCATAAGTGACGATAAAATGCCATCCTACATGGTTTGATGGCGCGGCAGTCAGGCAGATCGTTTAGCCTCCCACATATGCAACATGTCGGAACCAAAAGGTGTCACAATGTCTATTGACGACGAGATATTTCACTAACGACTCCTTAGGCGCGCATATGGAGTAGGTCTCTTGATGTCGCTAGATTTCAAGCGGCTTATCACTAAATTCGTTACGCTGCGCTTGCCTCCCAGTTCACGGTCCGATAAAGCTACTTTCGACTAGAGGTTGGTGAATAAAACGTTTATTGAGTCTAAGCTTGTGATCACTTCTGCTCAGTTTTGATTGAAATACGGCGGGTGGATATATGTCAGTTGGGGAATAAATATAAAAAGTCAAGTAGCTGTTTATATGCCAGAGCATGGAATTTGAAAGCAATAGTAGTTGACGTTGAGTATTCCCCAAATACCAGTCACAGGCATCAGCGAAACGGAAGCTCATGGAGACCCTTGATCCCCCTCAGACGCGAGTCCATATAGTGTGCCCCAATAGAACCATCTGACTCTTTACCTCTATGGTCATCGGATTTATAGGTTACAATGACCCCATGACCCTGTACTCTATGGAGCAGACCATACCCCCTATTTAATCCCGTCGCACTGTTGCAAGCTGGCCGAGATCCCGTCACCTGAAGTGAGCGTGAGAAATAAGCCAAGCAATACCAAACTAACCACCGTAGCACTCACCAAAGGACCGTACTTACCAATACCGGCTGAACTAATGAATGACTTCCGAAACCTGGCTCTGTGTTCATGAGAATGGATGCAACAGCCGGAGGATGGGTTTCGTGCGTATGTGAAATCGAACGTTTCGCTCCGAATCAAGGTGACATAATCAGTGTGTAATAACGAATCGCTTCACTTACTTCCATGGGCTTTTTGATACCTGCAAGTTACCCTATCCTAACAAAGGCTGTCGCCTCTAGCCTTTGACTCAAAGCCCTCACTCTAAGGACGGCTAGAGTAACCGTGTGCACCTTCGTATTCAACAGGTTATGGGAAGCGTATCAATGTGGGGATCAAGACGTGGAAGTTCGTCGAAGACCCATTTGATATTGCTCTTGTTTATTTCAATTGAGTTTATGATACGTTCAAGGCGTCTCTAAACAGTATTAGTCAACACAACTTTGATTGCAACCGTCTGTGATTAACCTTAACCACTTTATGCTTCACCGGCATTCGATCAATAGAGAACCAAATAATAATAAAACTGTATTTTTACTGTTGGTGGCAGTTCATATCGCAAGTACTTCTCGCAATTGAGATAAACGCCTACTCCGAAAACCGTTTCCTCAGATAAACGTCTAAAGTGAGGAGTGATAGCCACTTGTTCCCAACTTCCAATCATGATGGGGACCGTATGGTCCAAACACATATTTCAGTATAGACATTTCTGGAAGATCATGAAAGAATGCCAACCATCTCACCGCGCCATGGTCTTATAGCTTGCTCTAGAAATTCAAAACTCACCGTAGCCGCATGTCAGGTCAAATCAGTGTCCAGTGTCGAAACAAGCCTTAGACTAAACTGCGGTCTGTTTCTTGTGCCGGTAAGCAAGCCAGAGCCGCTGGCACCTTGCAACTGCTCGTGTCCAAGTCGCCACAAAGCAGGTGGAATGACTTGGAAAATCGACTTTCGTACCTCAACACTTAATGTGCAGCTACTGAACAGATGATGCCTCGAGGAAGCATGGACAGTAATATAACTATGACCAGCCTGAAGGTTTCATTCAGACGTGAGGATCGTGTGAACCCTACACAAACAGCTCTGGTTATGGAATACGGTTACTAGGTGGCTAGAATAGACTGTTTATGCAACTCTATACATTGCTGTTGTCTCCAGCAGCCCCGCTTTATTTACATCTGGACTAACAGGGGAAGAGGAGTCGAAATTTCAAAAATCCAGAGTGCCGGTGGACTGTGGCCTCAGAGTTTTACTGTTACATACTCCATTACGGCCGCAGCTTGTTGAATAATGTAACACCAAGCCCAGTATACAGCCGCACGAAAGAGACAGTATGCGTGTTTATGATACGAAGAGCAACTGTGAATCAAGTGAGCTGAGCACATACTAGAGTGATGCGGTGACTGCATGAATGGCGCCACTCTGGATTAATTGTGTCGACACGCGGTCACATAACATCGCGAGCGATTCCCATCGGAGCGGATAGCGCTTAGATGACCTATGGTTAATGCCTATGACTCGACCTAGCCTTTGCGGCTTCGTTACGCACACATCTGTTTGACACCTCGCGTAGTGCTTTAACAGTGACTGACTCTACTGTAATGCTTACTGACCACTTGTATTCGTGTTATTAGTGAGGGTACTCATAGTACCTCCTATGTTCCGGTGCGTAGCAAGTTTCCGAAAAATAGCGAGATGACCTATTCATCTATAATATTTTCTGTACTTTTATCCTCAGATGTAGACTTCAAATCAGTGTCTGCGGCCCGGCTCATTAACGTCCAATTTTATGACACCAGCCACACCGATTTGAAAACTTTGTGCTTCTTAAAAGTGGGCAAAATTCATTTCCGTTGAACGTCGGTGTGATCAAGCAGTACATGTGGGTAAGGGGTGTAGCTCCCTATTAGTATACAGATAAGCAAAAGTGCAACGCACGTAGGAGGGTATACAGAATTGAAAGGAAGCAGGGGATGCTGTGAGTAGAGACTGGAGGTTTGCCCGAAGTCCTGACTGAATTTAACACGGAGAATTTGTTCACAATAGCTCTTTAATCACTGTGAGTTACACAAGCTTCGAATGCCAAGGTTCGGTAACCTGTCACTGAAAGCATACACGTCCCACCTCAACGCCAAGGTTAGATTTACTCAGGCCGTTAATATTTGCGAGCATCACATCGCGGATTGGGAGCCGATGAGGCCTTGTGCGAACTTCTAGGGCGGCTTTTCCGGAGGCTGACTTATCACCGGGCTATATAAAAAGGAACAGAAAAAGTGAGAAGGAATTCAGTGAAGTGTGCCAGCGGAGAGCTTCATGGCAGGCGCCTCGTTGTGATACATTGTTGCGATTCTGGTAAAATGACGGCTGTATCAAAAGACAGTCCCAGCATTCATGTAAACTAAAGTGCTCCAGTCGTGTTACTGTCGACATGGAAAATAAGCCTGATACTAACAGCGCGTCCGTCAGTAAACATATCATTTAATCGCTGTGCAGCCAGTATTGAATTCAATTTGCAATAACACTCTTGAGTATCCAAGTATTGAGTGATTTTATCAGAGGGTTGTGTCTTATTGGCAAAAATGCGATGCATTCGCTATGGTCCCTCCAGTTGTTTGCCAGGCGATTTAAGAAAAGTGGATGCTTTTAAGGTTGGACGTCTAGCCGTAAGGTAACCTTAACTTCGGATAACAAAATCGTGCAAACTTCCAAAAAAGCAACGTACAGTTGGAGAGAAAGACGTAACAGGACAGGGGCAAGTTAGAGTAGGCAAGAGTAAGTACCGTAGTGAACAGCTCAAACAATTTTTGTGATATTAATACAAGTGTTATCTGTTTGCCTAGTTCCGGCTGTAGTAGTCTGATTGCAATGGCCTCGGTGGTGACCAAAACGTTCTTTCCGTCCTTTGAGGTTACGCTTCGATACCGGTCTTCAGTATAGATGGATAGCTGAGAACTGATCTGATTGTTTACAAGATACCACGGTTAAGAATGTTCACAGCTCCATCGTTGAGCACCGGACATCAGATTCGTATTGAAGACGCAATCAAACTAGCCTACACGGTATGGAAGCGCAACCCCAAACGGACTCATAAAAGCAGGTTAGCCATCACCAAAACCATTGCTGTCTGATTACAACAGCTGGAATTATGCAAGTAGATAACACTTGTCCAAGCTCTCATGTTGCATTGGTCCTAATGAGACTCCATACATATGGGACAGTGCCCGCGGCAGAGGGTGACCGTTCATGCAGGCTAACTCCGCTCGGACGTTACAGTAGCGAATTCTTCGAAACATCAGCCGCAACCGATTGAAGTGGTTGGGAGCGAGGTGGATAGAAAGGATGCCAACATTTCCTCTGACTTCGCAAGCATGTCCAGTTCAACTGTTAATCTACATGGGTAGCGGCGGTGTTCTGAGAGTAGTTCGATGTCTCCAAACGCCCAACGCAACTGTGATTAGCGTTTCCCATGAATACTTCAGCATGCGGGTGCTAGATGGCGTAAGTGGTACTACTACAGAGAGGTTCGGCACACACTTCCTACAATCTATTGGTGCACAGCATCTAGAACCTGGAATCTTTGAAATTTGATGAGCAGCACCTTGTGGCGAGGTGAGAAGAGAGTTGGATGAATTTATGGTTTTACTGTATTGAAAGAGGGGTGTTACTCCGTTTCAACATGCAAGAATTAAACAGTATGACTCCTAAACTGCAGAAGGAGTTTATTATTGACAAAATCTCAGCTCGGGTTTAATACTGAGCACAGTTAGTAAAAGGTGAATATGTTTGGCATTTACACATTATTTACATTACCTGACATCCATCCTCAAGGATCGAGTAAAGAAAGAGTGGACCATTTTCGGTAAATTCTCTGTCGTTATCTGAGAGCAAGCGGATAGCATTTCTTCCTGTATGCTTGGGTTCAGAACACAGAATAGTGATCTGTTGCACAGCCTTCGAAGCCATCACCTTCAAGAAGTTCAGTTGATCAGCAGGAATTTCGTATTCAAACTGCTAAGTAAATTGAACACAACAAGTTGCATAATACATTGTCATCAGATTGAAAAATTATAACTGTCATTTCAAGCAGGATTAAGGCGCAATTTAGGATAAAGAAAGATGACTGTACTGGATTTCAAGCCAGAAGTTCAGGCCAAATCATGGGGATAAGTCAACTTCACTTGAAAATCGCACTCTGCGTTTGCAGTGGATAAAAAAGTTTGATAAGAGCTTTCTTGACTTCCGTTTGTGCTTCCAAAGTGATTATTATACCTTGTCACTAACCGACATCATTAAGAATAGATGTGTTAGATGAGGCAAACAAATGTTTCCAAACGGTTTCTTCTTCATCCTGTTGAATTATTATTGAAAAAACCAACGTAAACGCATTCTTAAGGGTTCGTTTTATTCCCTAAAATGTTTGAATCGTCACCATCACAGAAAGTGCACAGGTAAGAAGTTGTCCATAAGGAACGGGTAAACTCGGATTGATCACAACTTTAAGCAGTCTCATACCTATACGTTTAAATGTAAGAATCCGACGGATAAAGTAGTACAACTTACGTGCTCTGTCAATGGCCCGAAGGATAAATACTAACTGCATACCGCGTAGTTATATGCTTCGTTTTTGAATGCTTATTTGCTTGAAACATAACTATCTGAAACGTTTGGGGCATTGACTTCAGAGCTATTTATTGCGACTAACAAAAAGTCTGGTTGGGTTGAATATAGAAAAACAGTGAAAACTTACGCTTGATGTAGTGGTAGTCGGTCACCTTGGTGAAGGGGACTGACGCGGCGCAGCTGCCGCAAGTTTGGGCGAGCCGGAAGGAAATCAGAAATGGTTCAGTCTAGAGTGAATAATGCACAGCCTTGGGCTGAACAAAGTCGAAACAGGCCAAACGGACAATGCAGAATTGACGCGGCCAAGCATGTGTCAAGGTTAAGGTGGCCGTAGACGAAGCAAAAGTGGCTTAGAACGAGCAGAACTTACGGTAACAGGGAACATAGACCGGTGGCAAAAGGAAAAGTGACCAATGTGAAGCAACCGTAACTAAATAGTGCCCCCAATTGCTGTACAGTATAAAGGACATCATGATCGCTGTCCAGACTTCCGGGGTGTAACGCGACGTGATGACAGAAGAGAAGAGGCTGACATGCTAAACCTCGCAGATTTCTGGTGCACAACCGGCGGTCCGATTACCAACCACACTACAGACGACAGAAGGCTTGCTGCTCGACAACTAGAGATTGTGGAAGGCGAGGTGGATAGATTTTGTACTGCTAACCCAGTTGGAGACTCAGCTAATGGACAACCGGATGACCATGTTTAGGCACGCCACTGTGGAAGAAGCGAGGTGGGTATTGGAAACGTTGAACCTCAGTGGTGGTGTTTTAGCTGGAGATGTGCTTTTGTAATTCAGCTTCAGTATGTAAGGTCAAAAGTGGTTGAGATTTCTCCGAATCTGATATGACATTGGCAAACCACCCCACAGATGCTTACACTGTCTATTGTAGACCCAAAGCGTTCTCAGCCTCGGTTGGTAAGAAGGATGAACCAACACTCCTTGCTTGCATTCAGTAGAAGCGTGCTGTCAAACCTGATCCCCGAGCTTGTGCTCTAAAATATCTTGAAAGTGTATGTCCATTGTCTTAAACTGGTCGCGTTGGAATGAAGTAGGTTTTAAGTCATCCACTCAAATACCCTGTCAACATCATCCTTCAGTGATGCGTCGTTACCTCTTGGACTGATGATCCACCTACCTTAATATCCCCAGCAACCAGAATAAAATTCAAGGTGCTCACTCTCGCGAGATCATTTACGCAACTGGAGACTAGAGGTAGACCACATACTGATTACTGCAGCCCTCTACATTGAAGTTCGATGGGATCGGATGGCTTTGCGAAGTCTCACATTCACATATGTTGAACGAGTAACCTATCCATCTAACGCATGACCGGGAAACCGACTCTACAGCTCTGAAATGTATGAAAGAGAATTCGGTGGTTCAGACGCCTTTGAGAAGTCCAGATAAACCACTTCAAGTCTCACACCGCTGCTGAAGGTTTTCATCCAAATTGAGAAACAAAGTACCAGATTTGTGGTGCAAGACCGGTTTTAACAGAATCCATATTGTGCTGACGCTGACATTGCATCTTTATAAACAACCCATGTGTGTTTCGGCTATACTAGCCTCTGTGACCTTGGAAAGCACCGAAATGAGTGTTGTCTGGGGTGTCTGACCGGATCTGCACGGCTTCCCCAATTGTGAATAGGAGTGGAGATTCCACGCTTCCCCGTTGCTGGAACCTGCAGGGCTTCGATGAACCGTTGGAAATACTGAGACAGCGATTCCAGCAAAATCATGATAGTCAACTTCAGCACATTTGGAGGGCTATTGTCGGCACCACGCGAGCATGCTCGTGCAAGGAAATTCGCCTCTTCGGAACATCTGCGGCCATAAATGAGATATGGCTAGGCCCAGAACAGCATAGGAGAGGAGAGTGTGCTTCAGAACTTAAAGGGTGACTGACGTAGGGTGTTGAGAGCTTTTCGTGCTACCCGTGCTTGTCCCCTTGAAGTGAGTAGGATAAGAGCCCATGTTGTACATTGCGGTTAACGTATCCGTAAAACCGTTTGCGGTTTGAACAGAACTACATGGCTAGATCCGGTTGATACTGCGGTATGGTACCATGTACAATGGATGGGCAATTATTCCGTTGGATAGCGAAGGTTTCCTAAGTTTTAGCGCCTGGAGACTCCGTGTGCATTTACCAGAGTAAATCTCTAAGTACCATACACTTTCACGCCCTACTTTGTATGAACGGTTTCATACTCGTGGAGTGTGGGGCCTGTTATTTGAGGCAATCTTTAGTAAAATGATGAATTGATTGATAAAATCCCCCCAGGCTACATTTGGATATAGTTCAGCTCAAACTGTATAGTTATTTGCATTACTGAGTGCATCCAGTACGCTGTAATCGGTAATAAGCTGAGAGTCGGCGGCGTTTTCTGAGGAATATTTTGGGTAACAGGTGTAATCGAACAAGTGGGTTACATGGTCGCTGCGGTCCTAAAGAATCTCGATAGAAATCATTTCGCTCGCAGGCTTATGGTTGTGTGACACGAGGTCTAGAATAGCTGTTTTCTTGCCCATACTGAATCTGGGGGGTGGGGTGGGGTGGGCTAATGAACGGAGTTAAGGTGGTTGTAAAGGGGTACTCCAATGACTTGGTTCTGTGTTTTCATTTCTTAATGATTATAGAGACATACCAGGTTTTCTGAAGTGTGAAGACTGATGTCACCCACCAAGCAAACGTGGTTGTGTGGATGAACGTGAGCGCTCTGTCATATTGAAGGCTAGGCTATTGCTCATTTCTGAAGTAGGCGACGAAGTGCAGTACGCGACACCCAATAGGCATGTATCGCCGCGTCTTAGATGAAGGCGGCACCAGCGTTGACAGACTGAACCTCTGAGTCGTATATAAGATAAGGACGTTGCTCATTGCAGTAGTAGAGAGGTACACTGCCTTCTCTTTTCGGTCGATCGTTACGCAGAATGGACATCCATGTCTTACGAGTACGGATCAGTGATCACTTCACTCAGCCATGTCTCGGTTACTATGCTGAGGTTCCACGACGCTGAGGCTTGACGCAACCGAAACGTGATCGGATTGCTGAAGAAAAGGCTTTGTGCATTGGCATAAAGATAGGAGAGTAGCTCATACCCTAAAAGTTTGGTGGAAGGCGTGGACAGCAGGTGTGCGATTTCACTGACCCTGGTGAGGTAGGCTGCTATTCGTGTTTCATAGGAGTCATCGGATTTATTTATAGAGTTGGGACACATTGCTACATCAAGCACTCCGCATACTGTTGACCTTGGTGGTCACTTGTATCCTGCGATGTCATTCCAGATCTTACGAAGTTACATCAGGCACTGCGCTGAACTCTACAACGAGTATTTTCACAGTTTACCATCCACACTGAATTATCAATAGACAGTGGTTGAGTCGTTGTTGCCTTCAGTCGAATTTCTATTGGCAACCTGTTGGGAGACAGCCTACTTCTCGAGAAGGGTCTGTGCGGTTAACACAGACTATCACACTAACCTCAGTAACCTAGTACCACACCTTTGTAATTAGGTGACACTGGGATTCTTGTCAATGAAGTAACAATGTGATTTTCTAGAAAGAATGTCTCAAGAATGTAGCGTCATTGCTCTCGGTCATGTGCCAAAGCTTCATCGGAAGAAGAAGCTTGGGACTCTGGAACACCGTGAACAATGGCAATTTCCTTGGTCGGTTGGTGGCCGAGTGGTCTGCGCGCCTGGTTTGCAACCATAAGGTCACCGGTTCGAATCCACGTAGGGGTCGGCGTCCACATTGTATACTCAGCCCGCACGCGACTGGTGGTGGCCGCGCGGCAGCGAAGTACCGTTGCGGCGTAAAGCTGACACATTGTTCATTGTTATTATTTCCTTGTCACTAAGTTTTCGACTTCCCTCTTGACTGTTCATGTACTTTGAACGTTCTTTCTACGGGGTGTCCGGCAGTATGCGCAATCAGTCTTATGCGTCACGGAGTCGGTTCGCAGACAGTAGAATGGTCTCCGTTTCCTTCGCGAAAGTTGCGTCACCCGAAGTAATCGAGGCCCACCATAATGGCTTGCGTTTGAGTGACACGCGATGCCTCTCAATGCATTGAGATCAGCACGGAAACCGACGACACTACAGATGGAATCCCACTGAACACGATTGTTCATCAGCTTACCCTTTATTGTTCCGCATTTGGATGCGGGTATGTTAGTACCCACAAGACATAAGGCACTATGGGTGCGGCTCGTAGCCATCGGCTTACGAGCACTAAGCTTTGTCAGCTTTGGCGAATTGGCAGGAGGCATTGGCAATGACCTCCCACGTTGCAGCAGCACATTTTTCCCAATCCAGCACTCGAAGCTACTGGTGTTGTTTTAGCATTTTCCTGGTGCTAACCGATGCGTATGATGTCCCTTTTTT